AAATTCGGCCAAAACGCCAGCCATATCAGGTAAGTGACTTGATATTGCCCGATATCAGGGCATATTAAGGCAACTGACAAGGCTGGTAGGCTAACTGAAAACTTGTGTAGGGTAATGAAAAGAGCCGATTCTATGTTGCCTTGCGTTTGTTCAGTATTGAGCACAGAAGACGTCAAAATGTGGTAACAACATCAGTGAAACTGTCGGCCATTGCCTCGTGTGCCACTCTTTTGTTCTTACCACATTTTGACGTCATCTGTGATCAATATATCATTAAAAAAACACACGGCACCATGGTCAGGAATTTATTTGTTAAACTGATTGCGTTGTTCCGTATGCCACTGGGGTCGTTTTCGTTGATACGACTTCCCCTATTGTCTACACTGATATGAAAACGTTTCATGCTTCCACTAAATAACGTTCTCAAATGTATGCGTTTTTGATCAAAACATTTAGCGTGTTCAAATCACATCTGTGTCAGCGAAAGCCAAAACGTAACAAGGAAAATGCATAAATAAAAAAACATTAAGTGTGGGCAAGGAATCCAAAAGAACGTTTGTTCCTATTTATTCTGAGAGCTCGCTTAATCCCGCGTGTCTCTTTGGCATCCGTATTCATCGCCTTTTCCCTTTATCGTAAACTTGTTGAAAGTTTCCTTTCCTCTCTTTTTCCCAAATACTTTCACCTTTGCCAGGTTACGTTTCCTGATAAAAAACGATGTTTTGATTGCATTTTATTTCTTTGCAGAGGGTCATCTAGTTAGCAATTACTCTTAGCAACATATCAACAGCGGTTTAATTACCTCGAATATGATACAGGCTAGCCGTGGATAATAAATGTAGACAAAGGTGTCCTCTTTGTTCTGATATATGGACTGCATTTTGTCGCACGCATCCATCCTCTCCTCATCGAAAAAAGTCGCAAAGTCTTTTTCCAGTTCAGACTGCCTGTTCGAGCTAAGAGTGTCTTCGACTAACCTCTGGTCTTGCTTTACTCGCTTTTCACTAAGCGAGGCCAGCCTTTAAGAAAGGTAGCTAGATATAAGTTCAGTCCAAGTTTATTACTTACTGATTTTCGTAGAATGTATATCGAGTAATAATTGTTAAAACATATGTTACTCATCACTGTTGAGTCCAGTAATGTGACAGCTGCTTCTGTAATTGTTGGATTATTTGTGGCACACAGGCGATCAGGAACGAGTCTCGACGCGTCTATTCTCGTTTTGTTTTTGTTTTTGTTTTTAATTTTCTTTCTCTTTTCTTTTTTAAATCATAACTGAAAGTTTCTTTTTTTAATTTTATGTACTATTTCGTTTTGTAAATAGTGTTTACTGGGAACTAAAGACAACCCTTAGAATCTAACCTGAAAGACGCTCTTGTTCTGACTGGTAACCGCAATAAAAACAAGTAGCTGGAAGGCGAGTTGTGCTTGCTATTTCGAGTTTAAGCAGGAAGTGAGATACGCGGGAAAACATAATCAATAGTTTGATACATATTTACTAATCTTAAGAAACAAAAAAAAGCATCAGGATCGGGCATCTCATTTATTGATGCCCGATAATGTTTCATATTTACCTTTAACTATTTCTACGAAGTTATACGTGTTCACAACTACTGAACTGCAATGCAGCCGTTTCTTGGAAAAAGTGTGTTTAATGTGTTCGTAAGCATTGAGATGGAAGGTTAGGAATAATACAATTCATGGGTAAATGGTTACGAAGCGCACTGTTTATGATGAAATGATATAATCTAAATGCTATCAAAAAATGTAATACCTGGATTTGTAGAGGTTCACTTTCGCGTGGGCATTTCTAAGCTCTTCTTTCATCTTTGACAAACTTAAAACGGATAAAGTTAAATGCATCATTGTGTCTATTGCACAGCTCAGTAATCAGGAAATGTTCATTATTACGACAATCATACATAAAAAAAAAAATTAGAGAGCGGGAGAAAAGAACAATAGTAGCCTCTAAGTAAGTAGCAGTGTACTTTCCTAAGTTTGAATGAACGCACAGCGCAAAGCCCGGGTCAAAGGAAAACAATTGAGTGAATCCCGAGAGTAAAATTCTCCTCAACTATCAATCACTGTAGCGCAGCCAAAGAAGGGTGGGACTGCAATAATTANAAATTTTGAGGTGAGGTTATACAGGTAGATTTTAAGAAAAATGTGCTTAAATCTGGTAGTTCCCAGTCTCTCCTCAGATACTTGGTTGTTCATTTTGGCCATTTGTTGATGTTTAATTGTTCAAATTTCACATAGAACGGCATAAGACTGAAGCAAACACTAAATAGAGAAAGGAAAAACATCTCGGAACATTTTTCAAAAGAGTTAGAAATTGGGCTATTATAATCCATCAAAACTGTAGTAAGCCACCTTAAAAATATTTGGCCACCTCTTCCAGATAGCGGGAATGATCAGAAACTTACTTAAATAAACTTCAGTCTTCATTGCTACACTACTCATACAGGTAGCAGCCGGTTCTCTATCCGGATGCCAGACCTAGCCTATTATTTTACTTCTAATGGCAAGCTAGTGAAAAACAAAAAATGAATCGTCCATCTGTTAGAATATTATCCAAATAAATACCTCTTACTAACCTCGTCTTCTCACACTGTGCGGTAAGTTACGGACTGAGTTTTATCCCCTTCGATTTATGGCCCTTGTGGATTTATTAATTGCCGGTCAAACAAAATCGTCTGTTTCAACAATTAACAATCGCACTGCTCCAAGAAGGTTGGTCAAATCAGGAATGATATCAGATTTTTGTTTCAAACTCGTGACATGATTGGTTGAAACCTCTTATGTGACACCGATTGACATCAGTATGCTGTAATTTTAGTTAGTTTATCAGTGATGATCTATTTTTTGTAAGCAAACTCACCTCTCCATGTATTCTTGAATTTCCTTGTCCTTGGCTGCAAGCTCGTTCAGCACGGCGTCATAGCTGCATGCAGAGAAATTGATTGTATTTATAAACCTCAGTTCACAGAGCGGGTTCCATTTGAGAGTCAAAATTCATCCATTATTGCTTTCTTTTTAGGCAAAATTTTTTCTAATTCTTCGCTCCGTGTTTGGTTTAAAAATCTTGCGCCTCTTATGCGGGAGGCAACCAAACACCCGCAAAACAAACGTTCCGAAAGTCGTAACCATTTTCCTCACTAATTTATGCTACTCGATTTTATTAGCAAGGGATATGAAATTCATGACAAGTAAAATGAATAGGCCATTTGCACGATCCGGTCACATGGTACAAAATCACACATGTTGGTGAGCAAGTTACACAGTGGGACTTCCAAAACAATGCAACTCGTACCAGTCCACCTGGACCTGCCTTTGTTTTGGAAGTCCCACTGCGCAACTTGCGCACCAGCATGTGTGATTTTGTACCATGTGACCGGATCGTGCAAAGGGCCTATTATATACTACTGGTGTGCATCAGTGAACATCGTTAAATGTAGGTAACAAGTGCTGGAGTGACGCTGATGTGCAGCAGAGGGTATTTGCCACATCGCGTAGCGAACTGGGAATAATCCACCGCCATTCACCTCCAAGTCGAAGGTAAATAGCTGCGTTAGTATATAGCAAACCACTGAAATTGTCGACTCGTATTTAGGACTAGTGTACCGAGATATATTTGTGATTTAGGATTGTAATTTTAACGTCCAGGTACACAGCAATTGTTTATGATAAAATGATTTTACACAGACGTTTTGGCGTAAAGTGTACATTCCGAGTGGATCAGGCAAATATCCCCACATAACTAAGGAATGAAGTCTTCGCTATTGTACATCAATACCTAGAATTGTGTGTGCTAATAGCCTTCCCGTATTCACCATACATTCGTTGCAACTCATCTTTTTCCTTCAGCAACCTATTAACGAAAATCGTTAAAACTGGATTTTGTTTAATGATAGTAAAATACTGAACAAAATACAATTTACGCAGACAGCTATACACTCCAAAGTAAACATAATGATTTTCAATCTACGCGGGTATATTTTTATATCACATAAATTTTAATTCAAAATTATCGATTGCATACGTGTGCTTTACACTCTGATGGGGCAATGTGCGCAATTATTTGAGCCACTCGCTGAGAAAATGTTTTAGGGTAAGTTAGATAATAAGGTACACTTTACTCATTAAATATCCATTTTTTTTTGAAAGCAGTTTCTACATCTCGACAGTCCAATATGGCCTAACCAACAAGCAAACTTACTGATTCTCCAGATCTTGGGCTTTGTCTGACATTTCCTTGACCTTGTTCTCTGACTCGTTTTTAATTGCAGAAATCCTACCAAAGAAGATATGAGAATAGATGCAGTGAAACAAAACATCGCTATTTTTCCCTTATCTAAGTTGGATTTCTTACATTAATTTTCAAGGAATCGTACACAGATTCAAAACAAGAAAGCACTATGGCCCTTGTTCTCGAAGCTTTCGACTTTTCACGCGAAAAAAATTATACATATAGTATTGCTTCAATCAAATGAACGACATTGGGCCTAGTTTGATTTTGAGATAAAATAAAAGAAAATAATCCAATTAATNAAATTATACTAAAACAATTATTCGCCTCAGGCTCAGTGAACATCGGTGAATTTTTACCTCGACTTCGTCTCGGTAAATATTTCCCAATGTTCACTTCGCCTTCGGCAAATAATTGTTAAATACTAGTTACAAGAAAAAATATGAAATTTTGTCTCCCTATGAAACGGTGTTTGCTTTCGGATTAATTTAAGCATGAAAAGACATCTGAGACCGACATCTCGGGGCCAGGTGCAAATTTATTCTTGTTAACTCCATTTCAATATATTCCCAGTCCACTACCGAGAATATAGATATGGTTTAATATCAGTATATCATTAGCAGAGACCACCCTGTAGATATCATACAATCATTCGCCGACGACAAAGAGACGTTTGAAGCATATTGTTTGAGACGGTTGCTGATGTTTTTAGTAGTCATTTTCTAAATTCCTAAAACTTTGAATAAGCCGGGGCAGAAGTGGTATCCTCATAATAAACGGAAATTTTGCTAGGTAACTTTATTCAACACACCTTGAAATCTATAATAATATCTCGCGAATGGGGGAGGGGGAGCGGGGAGGGGTCAAAGCGAAATAATCTGAGCTTCTAAGTCAATCAGAATGAATTCACTTAAAATAGTATAAGAGTAAAGTAGCATCTTTTTGCAACAAAAAATGTAAACAACTGACACACAGCACTTACCTTTCCTCTTGTACTTTCCCCGTTTCTGATATTTCCTTTTCTTTCTTCTCTAGTTCCTTTTTAAGCTTCAAACATCTAACAAGGATGGAAAAGAAGAAAAAGTGCATGTTTACTCTAAAGTTATTTAAGAGGGCCAATAAGAACCTAAGCCAATCAGAATGTCAGATTCTTATGTTCACTCTAAAAAATATTATAAGAGTAAAGTAGCATCTTTTTGCAACAAAAAATGTAAACAACTGACGCATAGCACTTACCTTTCCTCTTGTACTTTCCCTGTTTCTGATATTTCCTTCTCCTTCTTCTCTAGTTCCTTTTTAAGCTTCAAACATCTATCAAGGATGGAATGGAGAAAAAACGCATATTTACTTTAAAGTTATTTCAGAAGCCAATAACTAAAATCGACCGGTCAGTGTGGCCTATTTTCGGTTTATTATTTTCCAAATATTGGATCAGGCACTTTCTCGACAGATTCGTAGGACCACCCTTAAAGGTTTCTTGTAGCTCTATGGGTTTAGCTCGTCTCATGTGAAGTTCGACGTT